CATCTTCTTACGGTTAACGTAGGCGTCTGGCCGCTCCTCAGGGTTTTGCTTCTCCTGGTGAAAGAGGACTAAGGGGTTGACCTCTGGGAAGAACATCTTCAGCACGGCCAGCTGGACATCCCCGATGTCCTGGACGTTGCCCATCTGCACGTCCCCTGGCAGTGCCGCAAAATCGTCTGGTTTCATGCACTTCCTCACCACGTCTATCAGGTCACTCACTAAGTTGCCGCTCTGGCACCGGGGCAGCCGCTGGGCCCTAGACAGCCAGTTGACTGCTGTCTCCTTTGTCAACGGCCCCAGCATCTTCCCCACTGTCTTGAGCTGCTCGGGGGTAAACCAGAGCACAGCCCTGTTGGTGTCTATGGCCTGGAGTGGGCCATGGCCAGCCGGCTGCTCGTCTGGGGGGGCCTTTTTAATTTTGGAAGCCTCCACCTCCCCTCCTTGCAACTGGCACATCTCCTCCCGCAGAGGAGCATAGGGGGATGGCCTGGTGGGGCCGTTGGCACCCCACACATCATCCTCATAGTCATAGTGGGGCGGGTGCGGGTCTAGGGACTCCTCCCCCTCGCCATTACCAAACCGGCTCCTCTTGCCTTGCATGGCAGCCACGATGCCCCTTGACACCCCCAGCTCCGCCTGCAGCTCCTGGATCTTGGCGTGGCATACCTTGTGATCAGGGCCGGTGCCCCGGTCCCGCTGGACGTCCTGCAGGACTGCCCGCACCGCGCTTTGCGCATCGTGGGTCTCCCCGATCCACTTGCCAACCTCCTTCTCCAGCTCCTCCGTTTTCAGCTTCTCATAGCCCAGCTTGCTCTCCAGCCGGGTGATCTCCACCGCGCTCCGCAGAGAGTCCCCGCACAAACCCTGCACCTCTGCCCGCAGGTTGTCCACCTGCATTTTAAGTTCACCCTTGGCCTGCTCCAATGTCTGCACGTTCTCAAGAGTCTCCTTCAACAATTTGGACAACTCCCTGCTCACCATCAACAAACCCTGCAAAGCAGCTCGCTTCTTGCACTTGTTAGTGGGTTTGGGCTTTTTGGACTCCTCTGACCAGCTCTCCCACTGCTGGCACAGCTGCTGGTATGCCTCAGGGCCCTGGAAGGCCCCCGGGGACCAAACTGGGGGGAGACACTTCTGGAGCACAAACTGCTCCAGCTTCCAGTTGCTAACGATGTCGGTCATCATAGTGAGGGGAACGAGATCCGAGATGGCTCCGTCCCAGGGCAAAGCTACCGTAACACCACCACCAACCCACCCGCAGAGGAAGGCTGCAACCCTGCAGTCCACCCCTCCGAAAAACCTGCCGGGGGGATGCCAAACCTGGGTCGCGGCCGAGCGGGCGGCCGCCGCAACCCGCCGGCTCCCGGGAAGGAGACAAGGAAGGGATGGGGGAATGGGTGAAGGAAAGCAGAGGTGTAATAGGACCCCGATAAGAAGATCTCACCAATCCTTGGCTGGACGTCCTGGCAGTCCTGGAGATCTGGAGACGGTCACCGCAGAGCTCCGGCAGACTCGGCGCCTTTCGCAGCAAGGTGTTAGCGAGGTCTTGCTCCAGTGGCTTTTTATAGCCATGGCAGGTTGTTGTTTGGGGCTGAGAACGCCTCTGCTTACTTCTTCGGTGGCTCTTCCTCCTGCAGGTGTTGGATCCCTCCCCCTGTCTTCCCAAGGACAGTTTCTTTGTCTTTCCTTATCCTCTCTGGCACTGATTAGGGAGACTGAAAACATGGGAGCAGCTGCTCTGCCCCTTATCTATTTTGGGGGGGCCCAGGATTAGTCACCGCTCACTCCTGCTAACCTCTGCTTGCACCAAGTGTCCTGAAGAGGGAGAGCTGGAGCCTGTGCCTTCAGCATCCATCCTCCCAAAGTCCCTCAATGGCTTCCTCTCTTGCTGCACACACCGTGAGCACCTGGGGTTTGGGGGGGAGATCACATGGGGCTCACACCTGACACCGGTAACACACGCAGTCTCTCCAAACTTCCCCCCAAGCACAAATTGCTTGCTTTTCCCCCAGTGAAATCTTCCAGAAGCGACACCCTTCCCTGGAATAAAATAATTTAATAAATCTAAAAAAAAAAAAAAGGAAGTTCACCCGTGGCTGCTTAAGTCCTGGGGAGTTTCCATCCAGCAGCCTGTTATCCCCAACAGGCTTTTATTTCCAGGCCCTGCAGTATTGGCCATGTTGGACCAGGCTTGAGGCTGAGCAGCCCTCCCTGATCCCAGAAGTCAGCCCTTGTATCCCAGAAAGCACAGAGGGAATGGATTTTTCCTTATTTTTATGGCAGCTCCTCCTCCAGCCTGGCATTTACAGCCCAGCTGCAATTACCTCTGCTGCAAGATGGGAGTTTAGCAGAGATGAAGCCCCAGCCAGGTCCTGCTTCTTTTCCGCAGACCCCTTTCCTCTACCCCGATGTTTTGCTCCAACCCGCCGAGAGCAAACACTTTGCTGTAAGAAACATATCACAGGGAGAAAACAAAAAGCTGGAAATGTAAGGAAGCTGGTGGAAGCACAGGGGATTAGTGTCAGCGTGGTGAGGTACGTGGGGTGCGGGCTGAGAAAAAGAAGAGGGGCTGTTTCCGCTGGGATGGGCGAGGAGGAGACCCACAGGGCAAGCACCGAGATGGGGCAGGGAGGTGGCTGGTCTGGGGACTGGGATGGTTGTCTTTCAGTTCAGAAAAAGAACAAATTCCCCCTAGAAAATGTGCAGCTGAATGACACAAATCCACCAAAATTCAGCGATCCCCGCTTCTTGCTCCAGCTGCGAGCCAAACCCTCGTGATTAGGAGCTGCTGTACCCCAGCAAGGTCACCAACAAATCTCGCTTGTGTTAACAGATCAGCTCAGCTTACACCCTTTTTTCCTCCCCTATTTTCTTCCCAGAACAGCAGCCCCAAACAATGTGGGGAGATCATAAACAGCAGCTGTTCCCCTGCATGTTCCCACAGTGCTTTTATTTTTGTTGGCGATGGGCTGCCAGACAAAGGCATCCCACCTCCAAAATGTTTTCTCCTAGGAGCAACACCCGGCCCTGAGAACAGCTTGGCCTCTGGTAAATAATTCAACTGCGGATGAACAGCAGCTTCAAAGAAAAATTAAAAATTAATCCCTGTTCCAGCAGACACACTATGCTTTTATGTTGCAAATAGTCCTTTTTCTTTCCAAACTATAGGTAACGCGATGCAGGGAAGCATCTCTAAAGCTGCTATAATGGCCTGGGGAATCCTCCCAAGCCAAAATATCTGCTTAGACAACCCAGTGTCACTGGTCATGCAGCAGCCCGGTGTAAAGTGCCCTGTGTCCAAGGTTGTAACGGTGACAAAAGCCACCTCTGGGAGCACGTGGGTCTTGGCCAGGAGGCCAGAAGATGCTCCAGGTGACAGCAGCAGTGAGAAAAGGGGGACAGAGCCCTTGCAGCAGCCCGGGATGTCGGGCTCAGCTCAGCAACTTCGTCCCAGGGATAAAGGGAAAATGCACTTGCAGTGGCATTTCTCATATTAAGCAAACCCCCCGAAAAAGAGTTGCCTACACCCCATTCTGGGGAGTCCCACTTTGGGAGTGAGGGGCAATAAAAGGGGAAAGGTGAGCAGGAGGTGAAGAGGGGAAAAGCTGCACACCACACTGGGGCTCAGCTCCGAAAACAGGCCCTTAAAAGCACTGAAATGCCTTTGAAAGCACTGAAATTACTTTCTCCTGCCAGGAAAGAGTTAAGGAACCATTCAGCCGACCCTAAATTTTAGCAGCCCAGCCCTTCGTGGCAAGGTTTTTGATGGTTAGCAACCCGCTTCGAGCAGGAAATTATTTTAAACACAAATGGGGAGGGGATGTGTTACAGCAGCATGGAAAAATCTGGTGCAAAATGGACCAAAAAAATCGTACCGCGCGAGATGCAAAATCTTTTTTCCCATTTGTCCGCCAACTCAAACCCCGGGGGAGGCTTCTCGGTGCCCCCACATGAGAACCCCCCCCAGGAAATCCCCCCTCACCAGGGAACCAGCCCCGGGGAGATGCTGAGGCTTTGTAAGGACCACAAATATCTGCACAAGTAGGGCATAAAAGAAAACCGAACCCTGCTGGGCAGCCAAGAGGGCAGTGAATAAATAAAATTAATAATTTTTTTTTTCCCAAACATGGAAATATTGACACCAGTTCACCCTTGTAATTTCACATCACATATTTCACTCTCTGAATCCTAAACCTCAAGTGCTTCAAATCTCTCCCTCCCGAAGACATTTCAAAGCCACTGTGATATTTCATCGATCATTTAAATATTTCTGTGTATGAGCCGTGCAGTGTTGCAGCAAGGTGGGGAGCCCCAGCAGAATTTCCTTATTTTTGTGGTTTTTTCAGACACTAAAGGCTTGTTTGAAGTTTCTTGCTCTTGGCTTCAAAGTTTTCTGTGATGCCTCACGCCTCTGCTTTATGGTGAGCTAGTTTGGGGTTAAGCATTTTCCAGGCCCAGAGAAAAATGCCTCCTGCTAAAGATTCTGCTGAAGCAAACAACCCCACAGCTCAAATGCCATCTTCTCCTTATTTTGAATGCGTTTTGATTTCAACAAAGGAGAAACCAGCCAAAATTCATCCTTTCCTGCTTCTCTGTTTAATGCCGAGCTCCTGCATTTGTCATTTTTTTAATTGCATGGAGGGAGATTAAAAGAAGGAGGAAAAACTAGATGATGAAATATGAAGAAATCCTAACTAAAAACCAATGAGTTTTCATTTATTTTCTTCCTGAAGGCGATTTCGGGGGTTCCCGTGCAGTGCTGGAGAAGCACATGGGGCTGCCGCCCTGATGCACACCTGGATGTGGGGCTCGGCGCAGAAGCTGCCGGGCTGGGGCGCTGGGCGCTGCCGCGGCAGATGCTCTTCCGCAGCCGTCAGTGAGACATCTGCGCCCAGGCGGGGAAGAACCTCCTGGGGGGGAGCCAGCCCTGCCACCGAGAGGTGACCGTGCGTGGAAAGGGGGAGCTGGCACAAGACCCCTCCGTCACTGACTCCACCGCCATGGCCCGGCCATGGCTCCATCTCTGCATCTGCCTCCAGATCCCAGGTAAGAGGGACATATCTCTTAAGGGTTGAGGGCACCTAAAATCATGCTGGAGCCTCTCCTCCGCCCTGCTGCAGCACATGGGATGCATTGCACAGCATCTGGATGATGGAAGTTTAAATATACAGGCATAGTATAGATCTACAGGATATTACTACCTAATCAGCACAATTTTTGGACGTGCTTTAGCTTTTGGTCAGCCCTGAAGTGGTCAGGCAGTTGGACTAAATGATCATTGTAGGTCCCTTCCAACTCAAATAGTCTAGTCCTATTCTATTCTATTCTATTCTATTCTATTCTATTCTATTCTATTCTATTCTATTCTTTATAGTGCAATATATAATGGTATAGACACTGCAGAGTTTGTTTTTACTGCACCCTCTTAGTGCAGACGGTCTGTGAGCAACTGCTGATGGAGAAGTTAAAGTAGCACCTATGCTGCCTGTGTAACGCAGAGACGATAAACATCCCATCAAATTTTCTTCTAAATCTATCCAAGGATTGAATGTTTCCCAAGGGCCACAGCTGGAATTATAAAATCGTGTGTTATAAAACCATGCTGCCTTCTGCTTATTGCAGACAGCTTGCAGGAGGTCTGGACCGAATATGTACAGTCGATGTCGTGGCAAAGTGGTAGAATTATGCTTTAAAGGACAAATTGTGCCATCAGTTCTTAGGTGGAAAGTGTTGAGAGCTTGAAACACCTGCTAAATGTGTATATTAGGGTGGTCCCTAAGTTGGTCCCCAAGACGTTGTCCAACCCGGGTCCAGAGCTGCCCAGCATCCTTGCTAGAGGCTGTCAGGACTGCAGGGTGTGTTGTTCACGTCGCACGGTGGTCATCGAGCCGCGGCATAACATGGCCGATCTGGCAGCAAACAGCCTGAGGCACTTTATTAACACCTATATACAGGTAATAATATCCTATAGATCTATACGGTGGGGTCCCTGCAGAGAAAACCCCAATGAATTAGTTTGTTCTGCCCGTGCAAAGGGAAAAGGGACCATTTTCGAGCTGCTGCAGGCTGGTCTGGCCAAGCACGTGGAAACAAACCCAGCCTGATTCCCTCTGGTCCCCTGCAAGAATATGCACTGGGAGAGGGAAGAGGGAGCTTTGGGGGGATGAAGGTGCGGCAGAAGATGAGCTTTTCTGCCCTGGCTCCCTCCCAGCTCACCCCACTGGAGCTTAACCACTGGCTCAGAGCTGAGCTGAGTGTTTTCCAGGATCCCTTCTCATCCCTTCCGATTCATCTAGTCATCCCTCCAATGGCTCGAGGAAAAGGTTTTCATGGGGGGTTGAATTTCCCATGCCCAGCAGAGCCAGACCTTAGGGCAGCCAAGGAGACCCTCAAGCCACCATGCCCCATGGCCACACGCATTTCATCCCCTAAAAAACTACATACAGGTATTTGCCAGAGCAAAGCTTGTGAGGGTTGCACTCCCAAAACCTGAAAGTCATGTATTTTAATAATAAGGAGACATTTATATTGTAGCAGGGCCAGAGGATGTGGTGAAATGCTGAGGCTGCTGTGCAACACCTGAATTTTGACATTGCAATATTAGGGCTGAAGCCTGCTCATCTCTGCAGCGCGCTGGCCGCGATGGGGTCGTCGGCGTGGGGACGCAGGAAGGGTCTGGAGCTGTCGGTCACCAGAGCCCTCTCCTCTGCCTGTTCCCATCAGGGACATGAGGGCCATCAGGGCCATGGGGATGGCTACAGGTGTTCTTGTGGTCATGCAAACCCATTCCCATACCGCTGGGATGGCAGGGCTGCAGGAGGCTGTTTGCAACAACTACTGCAAGCAGTTTGGGGATTTTGAAGTAACAGAGACATTTTAAAGTAAGAAAAGCCAAAAAAAACGTTTCGTTGAGCTTTTTGCACAGCTTTAAAACACGCCTGGGAAACAGCAGGGGGAAGCGAGAGCATCCTTATCTTCAGAGGGCTGTTTTTCACTTCATCGTGGCGTATCTGCAGCTTTGTTTGCTGAACAGAAAGGATCACAAGTTACCTGTTATCCTTTTCACAAGGACACATCCTCGCTCACACACAGACACCGCTCACATCTGCCCAGGCCAAACACGACTCAGATAATTTCCATGAAAGATGCAAAGCCTAAACAGGGCGATGTGGTGCCAAACTGAAGCTTTCAACCCCACCGCTACCCCTCACTCCCTCTCTTTTCCCAGGTCTCGAAATTCATATGAAAATAATGTCGTCTGAAAACAAAGATCAAATTCGTTCATTTTTGAAGACATTTTGCACATTTTTTCATCTTTTTTCTGCACCTGAAATGAAGTTTATTGGTGTGGCATCTGTTAGAACGAAAATCTGACAAATAAGTTGAGAGGCTCAAAAAAATTCTGTTGTAGGATAGGTGAAGCCTCTCCAAAAAACGAGAGAGAAAATGAGGGCAGGAGAGGGGCATCCACAGGAGCAGGTGGGGATGCCCTTCCCTGAATATACAGCCCCAAGAACACCCTGAAAATCATCCCTCCATCCCTCTCCCTGCCACTGAGCCTTCTCCCTAGATGAGTGTTTACAGGGCAAATTCTACCTGTATAGCTAGACTTGACCAAAAAATAGCTGGGGATCCCAAAAACGCCTCTCGGGGAATATGGGAGCATCCTGATAAAGATTGTCCTGTTTCTTACTTGTGTGATCCCCTGATCTGTGACTATTTGATCTTATTAAGCCCACAAAGAAAATCTGCAGTTAGTGTGGAAGAAAAATAATGAAAAGAAAATAATAATTCTGTATTCCTGTCTCTTTTTTCTTAGGTTTCTGTACAAATCTACTTTTAACCCAGACTCCAGAGCATATTTTAGCCCAAACTAACAACAAAACAGAAATCCTCTGTGAGCCGAAGATGGATCACGCTGGGCTGTACTGGTACCGCTGGAGCCAGGAGAGGCAAAATTTTGAGTTCTTGATATTTTCCAGCCCATTGGGCAAAGCCACGTACGGTGCAAACATCAGGCAGGACAAGTTCAGTGTCCATGCAGGCAGTTCCCGCACCTCCTACAGCCTGCACATCAGCCACCTCCACGCCTCGGACAACGGCACCTATTACTGCTCCGTCTCCCAGTCCTCCCAGCTCCTCCTGGGCAGCGGGACACGGCTCAGTGTGGGTAAGCATCACCCCCGGGGCTCAAAAATGTGCCATCTGTGGGCTGTGATGAGGTCCCCTGGGTAAGGGATGATGCATGTTGGTAGACCATTCCCAATTTTATGATGCAAGGTTGGGCGTCCGGGGTTTTTCTGAAGAGACCTATGAGACTGGATAAGGGAGAAAATAGAGAAAATAGCTAAATTTTAGGTCAGCTGCGTGTGATAGTCCTTTTGCCATGAGCAGTTGCTCTGCTGTGGTCATGCCTTGAGCACCACGTTGGTCCTAGTGCTTTAGGATTTTCGTGGGAAGACCTCCAGCCCCTGATATTGCCATGCCCTGTGGTAGTTCAGATGAGGCTGGACGTGTGCCCTGCTAAGCTCCCGGGCCCTTCCGTGCCATGGTTCTTCCTTACCCTTCCTCCAAGTGACAAGAGCAGCAGCTTCAAGGCCAGAGGACATCACCCCTCGCTTCTCTGGGGTGGCTCTGACTGCAGGTTTCAAGCCTGTCCTTCACATAAAGGACAGAATTGGGATTTATTTCTCAAAGCTCACAACCCCTCACAACTCACCATCACTGGGGAGCTCCAACCAGAAATCAGAGCTGTCTGTGGGTGGCATTGGGGGAATGATACTTTACAGACCCTGGGTCATACAGCAGCTCTTTTCAGCCCATTTTTCCCTTGACCACCGAGCAGGAGGTGTGTAGAAAAACTAAAGTGTTTGAAGTAGGATTCAGCCCTTTCTTTTCAGGCTTTTAGGGAGACAAATAACTTATTTAACCAAGATGCAGCTATGGCTGCTGGCTCTAAATCATCCCCAGTGTCCCAACCTTTCTGGGTTTTTTTTTGCAAATATGCCTTGCATCTTGAGCTGGCTGAGAAATCCCTTTTGGATCCTTGCCGGCTTGAAGAAAAGCTGGTTTCAGATAAAGGAGAACTGTTTTTTATCAACTGGGCGCATATCTATGTGCAAAGCAAAGCATGAAAAACAGGGCTGAAATTCAGCGTGATCAAGGACACTCCAGTTTAAAACTAAACATCAGCAGGTGTTCTGGGAGGATTCAGGCTTTGATGGATATTTTCTTTTTTCCCTTTAGTACACATGATAAAATAAATTGTCTTTAAGCTCCTTTTCTTTAAGTGCGTTAGAATGTAAGGGACAGGTTGTCCAGGTAAATCCTAGGCACCTGATGTCTTACTTTTCCCTGTAAAAGAACGGTGGTTGCCATAGGAATTTCAGTCCTGGATAGAAGTAGAAAAAAATAGGTTTGAATCCCAGAATTTTGAATAAGTGGAGTTTGAGTGGTCAGAAGTGCAAATTTAATGACATTACTGGGATATTTTCCTGACCAACTTTACAGAGAGATGAATGTGCTCCATTGTAACTCAGATACATATAATAAATCCTGCCCTCATTAGCAAAAAAAAAAAAAAAAAAAAATCCAATTCTGAGCAAAGATTAGAGCAATTTGAAGACAGAAAAGGCACAGGGCTCCCTTAAAACCTCCTGGTGCTTCTGAAATCTCCTGCTACCTGTGATTTGGTGCAACACTGTTGAGGTGGTTCCTGGCAGTAAATGTAGCTCAAGGAAGTTTTCTTTTTCCCTTCCTTAACCTATTGCCCTTGTTTCCTGGCAAAACATTTTGCCCTTGTTTTATTAACACTTTTCCAAGCTCTTGGTAACTTCTGTGGCCAACGAGAGGTTCAGGTCAAGCTCCCAGCCCCTCTGGGTGACCCAGCCCTTTGTGGGGGTCCCTGGATGGGGCTAGCTTTAAAAGCCAAAATTTCCAGTCTTTCTTGCTTGCTGTTTGAGACCGCTGCTGCACTCAGTGCCATAATAACCCTCCTCTTCTCCTCCTTATCCACCAGTTGATGTTTTGCCTCTGCCTCCAAAGACCACTCAGGCACCGCTCTCCAAAAAGCCCGTGCGGTGCGTAACCAAAAGCAAAGCTGCCAGCAAGAAAGGTAGGGCAGCGGGTTGGCTTGCAAAAGGGTTTTGCTGAGCTCCTGGGGGTCTCCAGGGTTCAGCTGGAGTTTGTCCTGGGGTGGGGGCAACCATGATGTGACCCTGCCAGGGGTGGGCATCTGGTCCACCTAGCCCACCGCTCTGGATGGAGCTGACCTGCGTTTAGGAGTGGTCCCTTGGGATATACAGGGGTTTAGGGGCCAGGATGTATTTCCATTTAGCTCTGCCTACGCTCTGGTGTCTGCTTGCGGGTGCAGCCCCTGCGGGTGCAGCGTCAGTCCTGCAGGCATGGTGAATTCCCGTGCCAGAGAGGACACCTCAAAAAAGGATATCGTGACTCATAGCCAAGTTCCCTGCAACGCCTTCCGGGTGTAATGCATCCTCCAAGCAATACCCCCAGGTGACGGTCATGTCCTCCACCCCTCCTGAGCCTTGCTTTTCTCTGCTCCCCACCCTTCATGCCCCAAATCTGCCCTGGTAGGATGCTACCGGGTGCTGAGCTGGGGGGGCAGCTCCACACCACATCCTCTCCTGCTCCCCAGGTGTCTGCAGCCCCCTGGTCTGGGTGCCCCTGGCCACCAGCATCCTGGTCCTCCTGCTGAGCCTGGTCCCCACCGCCTACCGCCTTCACCGTAAGCATCCCACCCGCCCCGGGGGACGATGAGGGGTGTCA